AAGTGATCCAGGTGCGGGTATACATCACAAACCTTAAGTTCTTGACACAGCGTGGAGATCAACACGAGGCTATGCATGTGCCTCCTCCATTCGATAAACATCGTAAACTTTTTATAGTCGGAAAGGTCTTGGAACACAAACGGCATAGCCCAGGCATTGCTGTAGAATGTTGTCTTAACATGTTGTGTCCATGAACAGGGGTGCAGCCAAGCCCCACCACTTCTTAGGCCCGTCTCTTTCTCTTTTCCCTTAAATGACCCTTTACAGAAAGTTCAAATCGGCGCGATGCCTTCCCGCCGAGCTTCGCCCCTCCCCCATCCCCACCAAGAAAATCCTGTCTGCGCCCCTGCTCATGGATATCTGTGGCGTATAACACATTTATATTTCTGTGGCATCATGCTCTTGAAGAGCCGGAAAATACTGCCAGCTGACTTGGACAAAATGAAAAGGGACTAAAAGAACTCATGACCATAAACTGACATACACGAGTGGCACAGTTTCACCAAATTATTTGGGGAATGATAAAAATTTCCGAGCTTGCCCCAAAACATGCCAGCAAACACATTTAACCAATATTTAGCCTACTTTCCTTCCAAAGTTAGGACTGGAACCCAACTTGGGATGGGCTTCCAAGTGACTAGGAAACTACACCCCTAGCGCGCACCGATTATTTTTGTGAAGGGAGGGGGGGGGGGGGGCGGGCTTAGCGAAACGTGGCACAATATTCACTTTCCGTCAGAAGGCATTTGTGGTGAAAACGTGCGGACCTAGTAGGGGACCCGAGTCCCTGGACCTCTCCCTGGCTGCGCCTGTGCTGGTAAATTGTACCGAGATATCGTGGAAAGGTAATGTATGTAACAAAGAGTGTTATGCTGCACTCTGCAACCTAGCTCAAAGAACTGCATGTCCTAAAGCCGGTGCAAATGGGCGCTGGCGCTAACCTAGCAACAGCCATTCCCATTGGTCTTTTGCGCTCGGCTCTGCTGGCCTGCGTCTCCTTGGTTCCACGTCAACAACTCAACAAATGCATGTGTGTTACCAACGTCCCCTTGGAACGCAGACGCTGCCAGCCACACCGTGCCGTGACCGTGGTTAGTAATGCACGATAGGGCTAAAACGGCATTTCCACAGCGACCGCACCACACAGGAGTGGTCTAGTGCGGCAGCGGCGAGGCGCCCACTCCGAGGCAGGCGCAGTGCACAGCGAGGCGCCCACTCCGAGGCAGGCGCAGTGCACAGCGAGCGTCGGTCGCTGGGTGTTCCTCAGCAACACTGGCCGCCATGGCATCACGAGGTGAGCAGGAGCTGCCCAAGTCCGTGGGAGCTGTCGACTCGCAAGCTGTCTCTCCAACAGCTGCGTTCCTCTCCAGTGCTGGCTTCCCTGCAGGCCTGGAGACCGACAGGCTTTCGGGCCGCATGCGCAGTCATCGCTTAAATTGGCACTTCATCAGGAACTGGCGGCGAGCATTGGAGGAAATCGAGGATTTTTTCAATGCCTGCAGAAAAATAGCCAGATTTGAATAAGTATGTATGCTCTATGCTACTTTACAAGCATCTAGTTCGGTGCAGAATGTAAATAATGTCAGTTCTGTATCTACCAATTCATACAATGCTTAAGCTAACTAAGCACAAACCAGTGGTCTGGTTTTGCCGAATAAGCTGGAGGTGGCTGAGCAAGGAAAAATGGGTAAATCTGCCCCAAAACACAACAAAAACGTGTCCTGCCTACTTCACTGTTACAGGGAGCTCTCCACATTTGTATGGGGGTTTGAGCTTAACTAGGCATCTTGAACATCCTTCGATACAGTTCACAGCCCTGCACTTCGCAAGGCCCAACCTTCTAGTTTCTGAGCTACACGCCCGTAAAGATGTGCAGACTATTTCGAAAAGACTTTCAAGAACACCCAGGCGCCCATGACGTCACGATAACGTCATTTAAATCCTGTCATTCCCTCCGCCATGCGATGATTAAGACCAATAAAATTAAAATTGTCGGGTCGGCTGATATCTGGCATTCTTGAGCACAGTTGCCAGATACCACTGCTGCTCAGCAGCTCTCAATCAATATTTTGCCAGGTACGATGACATAAACAAATAATGACGTATTGAAGAGCATATTTAGTAAACCAAAAAATTGATTTGTCTGGAGCAGACTTTTTCACTTAAAAGTACACCAATAGTTATAATTGAGCTTACTCCACCATATCTGAAACTTGCTTCAAAACTTGGGAAGTGGAACATTCCCTTTGATGGTCGTGTGTGGAGGGGGGCCTTTAGCGCTCCCAAACTGAGTAGAAAGCTATACCTTTGATGAAGGTGCTCCCGTCCCGTCAAGTTTAAACCCAGCTTCTCCTGTTGTATGTAGCGCAAGATGACCTGCGCAAGCTGCAAGCAAGCGCAAGCTCCATTCTGCTTGTATTGGCTGAACGCCTGGCCTTTCTCTTTGCTTTACCGGTCCACTTTTGGCCTTCCAAAACCAGGGTATGTTGAGTAAATATATATTCCTGGGGTTTTATTAAGGACCAACTGTCCAACACTTGATGCAAAAATGCTCTCTGATTGGGCTCACTTAACATGCAAATATTAGAAGTCCCCTAAAGGACAACGCATGTCGAGCGTAAAAAAATACTTGTTCATCCAAGGAAATCACCAACAGCGGGAATTTTTCCCTTCGTGAGCCCTTCCTTCAGCCGTAACGCTACAGCCAGCATTGTGGACTAAAATACTGTCATAATGAAAGCACTGTCAATCGGACTCATTTACCATTGAACCCGTGCTCGGACCAACATTCTGCCGGATTTGTATAATTATTATTGCCACACAAAGAGGAAGCCGCTAGAAAAATGGAAGATATGAAATGGAGTAGGAGATCAGATATTAACTTTCAAAATATTCCGATTAAAAAATTATGTGCGCCCAGTCCTTGAAAGATGTCTTGCAAAAGCCGCTATTTTCTTAGACGCGTTGAGTATTTTAGCCAATTGTGTGTGTGTGTGTGTGTGTGTGTGTGTGTGTGTGTGTGTGTGTGTGTGTGTGTGTGTGTGTGTGTGTGTGTGTGTGTGTGTGTGTGTGTGTGTGTGTGTGTGTGTGTGTGTGTGTGTGTGTGTGTGTGTGTGTGTGTGTGTGTGTGTGTGTGTGTGTGTGTGTGTGTGTGTGTGTGTGTGTGTGTGTGTGTGTGTGTGTGTGTGTGTGTGTGTGTGTGTGTGTGTGTGTGTGTGTGTGTGTGTGTGTGTGTGTGTGTGTGTGTGTGTGTGTGTGTGTGTGTGTGTGTGTGTGTGTGTGACTAAATGCTCTTTTAAATGGTCAAACGCTATAGATAATTGTCTCGCATTAACCCTTTGCACTCAGACAATACAGATGTGTATTGCCATAGCAGCTTCAGTTGCCACATCATATTCTTAGCTGAAATGCGTACAAAATCTCACAGTCAATAATGCCTGACAATGATATTCAATCACCCGCGGGGACTTTGGAACCCTCAGGACCGACAATCAGGGACCGGACGGAAGGGCCTGAATGAGTCAAAATGTCGGGTTGAGGTCGAGACTTCAGCCCACAGGGAAGGCTCCTCTAACGTCAGTCAAAGAGTCTACTGCGCTGATAGGTCGGTTCCCGGTCTGTGTGTGCCCTGAGGCACATTTCTGAAGGAGGAATATGACCAGGGCGAAATGTTCTCAGTAGCCGTAAAAAATGTTGTTCTTAAAACCCACGAGCCAGGTCGGGGTCTGTGACTGTCGCTGAAGGCCTCTGGTAAACCCACGAGCCAGGTCGGGGTCTGTGACTGTCGCTGAAGGCCTCTGGTATTGCTTGCGTAATCCCACCCGATATCAGTCTGACATTGTACACGTGAAATATGCGCCTCGGCTTACCTGGAGTACCTGCGAACCATTTTCATATCGCACTTGAAAGGATATGCTTCCGGTCCGGGGTCATTTTCGGGGTCACCCGCTGGCAGCCGTCTGGTGTTATCTGCCAGGCCGACCAAGCCCGCGCTTAGGAGACTGCAACGCCTGACGTTTCTCAGTTGTGGCAAAATACGGCGGCGCGCATGCTCAAAACCATTTAGATTTTTGCTAACCAATTCTGAAAGAGTAGGAACATCCCCAAGCGAGATTAAGGTGATGTGATGAATACAGCACTTTGATGCCGTTTCAACATACGATGCTGTTCATTTCACGGGGTCACGAGGAATGATATCTCTGTGGGGCCCGAAAAATCGGCTACGCGTTATCGGTGTAGAAAGACCCGAATATACCATTGTAGAATAGACAGCGCCAGCGACTTGTTCGATGGTCATCTTAAACGTGGTTTTTCCTTTTATTAACTTCCATTTGCGAGTAAAACTGCGTCGTCAGGTGGCTCCCAGCTTCTGCTTCAATAAAAGAAGGCAACAAAATAACGAACCAAAACGAACCGAATTTGCCCCCTCGAATAACAGTAGACGGAATTCGGTGAATAGCTTCTCGGGGCTTGTTCGTCACTAGAGGGCCTTTCTCCAACCCAGTGCCCTTCATAACCAAAACTTTGACTGCACCGCTGGCCCCTGACTGCCTTTGACATCCCTGAGCCCACCAACCGTGAACGCGGTGCTGAGAAGACTGAGGAGAATTCAATTCGCAGTCGCCGACACGGCCTCCGTGGAGTTGAAGCTGGTGTCCAGAGAAAACGGCATGGTGTAAACATGCGAATTTTTGTCAAAGTCTGCATGATCATTGGCTAAAAGTCATTGGTCCTTGATTCTCAAAAATGCGATCTACCAAAATGGTGAGAAAATGAGTTAAACGGGTTAAAGGGAGTGCTCCACATTTGCGCGGGGTTTTGAGCTGGAATAGTTATCTTGAAGACCTTTCGGTGCAGTTCACAGCCCTGCCCCCCTTAAGATCTCAACTCGTCTAGTTTCTGAGCTTTCCGTGAAAATGGGGAGGGTATTTCAGAGCCGCTTTGATGTTCATGGCGTCATAATAACGTCATGCAAATCCTGCCATTTCATAAGCTATGCGATGATCAAGGCCGAGGAGAACGCAGTGGTCGAACTGTTCATGTCTGGGGTTCGTGAGCACGATTTCCAAATAGAACGGCCGTTAGTCGGCTGTCAAGCAATGTTGCGCAAGGTACGATGACGCAATCAAACAATGACGTATCAAGGGGCATTTGAACTAAACCGAGAAATTGCGGTGTCTAGAGCAGTCTTTTTTACTTAGACATATACCAAAAGTTATAAGTGAGCTTATTTCATTAATCTGATGCTTGCTTCAAGATCTCCCAATTTGAAACACTCCCTTTGATGGGCGAAATGGTCACTTCAAAATGGCGATGCGTTAAAAGTGGCACGACAAAAGTCCAAAATGGATAAATGTCACAGTGCCAAACGGCGATACGTCAAAAAGGGCGTTTCACCTTATCAAATGGTTAAAAAGAGTCTTGTAAAATGGCGATATGGAAACAGATATTGTTTGATCGCATTACTGACATACCAGTGTCATTTACCTGCATATGTGGGGGGGGGGGGGGGTCTCTGCTGTCCCGATTGCCTTAAACATGAAGTGACATTTTCTTAACCTGCTTATCTTAGATACAAGTATTTGTAACAAGTATCTTCTCAGCCTCATCATTCTGTGTTGTTCTCTCTTAAGCCCAATGGTGCTGTGTTAGCTATTTTTGCTTACTGTTATCGTTCTCATTCATGCTTGGTTGCGCGGGCCAGCCAAGCATGGGTGCGCAATAGAATGTCTTCTGTAAAAGCTGGGTACTCAAAATTTGCTCTTTTTCAGTCGTAGTACACCATCTATATCGTGCGGTTAGATCTTCGCACTGTGTACACGAACCATTGACGGCAATCGTTTTTGCAACCATGCTGTAAACAATACGGAGCGCATTGGGGAAAGCAACGCAGGGTCCGTCTGGTGGCTGTGAATCACACTTTTGACCAACCACTTGATCCCCTTGGTGTTTTCGAGTCAAGACATCTGGCATCTCTTTTGACCCTATGTCCTTGCGCATCACAAAAAAGCATATTGGGCGACATACCATTGCACGCAAAGGCGCTGTGCGTGCGCATGTGAAGAGAATGCCGATGTGTAGACAGCTCTTGCACACCCAGTGACTCTATGAGTCTTCCCCAGTCCCGGTCACCGCTGTGTTCTATCTGCAGGAGGCCGTCTGAAGGCCAACTCGGCCCTGCTGCTGCTGCTGCTGCTGCTGCTGCTGGCCTGGGTGACGGTGATGTCGGCCACCTCGCCGCCGCCGACCAGCGCCGACTGGGAGAGCCGGCTGCAGTTCTGGCGGGTGACCCAGGTCGGCTGGTCGCCGCCGGCCGATGCCGTGTACGCCAGCCGGCCGGCCTGGTCGGCCTGCCACTGCCGCCACCTGTGTCTGGCCGACCGCGCCTGCGCCGCCGCCGAGCTGGCCTACGAAGGCGGTGAGCCTTCCTGCCGACTGGCCTCGCGCCGCGGCAACAGCACGGCCAACACCACGGCGGTGGCGGCCTTCGTGCGCAACGGGCACGCCGAGCTGGGCGAGCGCTGCCTCAGCTCCGCCGAGTGCTGGCAGGCGGACCCGGGCGCCGCGTGCGAGACCGGCGTCTGTGTGTGTCCCTGGTCACAGCTGACGGCCGCTGGCCGCTGCGTCATCCACGACTGCAGCGAGCTGGCGTCGCTCGGCGCCGGCGCCAGCGGGCGGTACACCATGCTGCTGGCGCCGGGCGAGGAGCCAGTGCAAGTGTACTGCGACATGGAGACGGCCGGCGGCGGCTGGACCGTATTCCAGCGGCGCCAGGACGACCCCGAGCAGCTTGACTTCTACCGCGACTGGCAGAGCTACCGCGACGGCTTCGGCAACGTCTCCGGCCAGTTCTGGCTCGGTAACGAGCTGCTGCACAGGCTCACTGCCCGCCGTCCTCAGGAGCTGCGCATTGACCTGGAGGACTTTGAGGGGGGCCACCGCTTCGCTCAGTACGGCTCGTTCAGCGTCTCGGACGAGGCGGACCAGTACCGGCTCCAGCTGTCGGACTTCTCGGGCGACGCTGGCCACTCCATGCCTAGGCAAAATGGACAGCAATTCAGCACCAGAGACAGGGACAACGATGCCCATTCCAACAGCTGTGCACGGACTTACAAAGGTGCGTGGTGGTACGAACAGTGCCATGATTCAAACCTGAATGGCCTGTACTTGAGAGGATCACACCCGGATGGGCAGTACGGCGGAATGGTCACCTGGAAATTCTGGAAGGGACAGCGCTATTCGCTCAAGTTCACCGAAATGAAGACAAGACCAGCAGGTTACGCACCACTTTAAGCCGTCTTTGATCTTGGAATGAATTCTGGAGCGCTGGCCATGTGTGGCGCTAGGTGTTTATCCTTTCCAAGGCTATAACATGTCAACCCTAACCGTCACCTTCGAAAGGCGCGAATAGGAAAGGCGGCGTAATGTCCGCTTGGCCAAAATGATTGCTCACATGTCATGTGACTACTACATATGAACCGTGGCACTGTTGACATTATGAAGAGGCACCCAAAGTGTAGCTGCAGGCGGCACCTGAAGCTCATCAGCTGGTGCACGCGACCCCGCGCCAGATCCCTCTCCCACCGGCTACCCAGCTTTAAAAGTAGTGATGCTTGAAAAACGACTCGGCGGCGTGACCATTAACGCATTTTTTTCGCATTAATGTTTTGTTAGTGGCATGTCTGCGCTGTACCGCGCCTCGCTGGATGAGCCTCTGTATCTGTACCGCCCCTGACTGAATGAGCCCCTATACCGCCCCTCGCTGGATGAACCCCTGTGCCGGCCCTCATCGGATGAGCCTCTGTATCTGTACCACCCCTGACTGAATGAGTCTCTATACCGTCCCTCGCTGGATGAACCCCTGTGCCGCCCCTCATTGGGAAAGCCTTTATACCGCCCAGTAGCGCAGACAGACGGGGGGGGGGGGGCACAGGGAGCACGTGCCCACCCCTTAGGTTGCGAGCGGCCCTCCGGGCCGCTCGGAACCTGCGACTAAGGGCCCGAAAAGCAAACCGGAGGTCCTATTCAGGGGACCGAAGGGGCCCTGAATAAGACCTCCCGTGCTTCTCAAGACCAAGTGCACTGGCCCGCAGGGCCGGACACTCCAGTGCCAGCCAAAGGGATTTGCACGCTGATCATAGGCCCATCGAGTCAATAAGGGCCTATATTTCGGTCAGACATCACCAGTAACGCGCAGTCGCCCCCGTGGCGGCATGGGCCTAAGGGGCCCATTTCCCAAGCAGGGACAAAGCCGGAGGCAGCGATTGACATTCCTTTGGGCCCCACAGCGCCTAACAGGGGCCTGTGTTTTCAAGGGGCTCCGAATCGGCCATGGACAGTGTTAAAGGAGGTCCGAGGGGCCATGGGCAGTGTTTAAGGTCCGAAGGGCTCATCTCTCACTGGATGAGCCTCAGTGCCTGCACCGTCCTGACTGGAAGAACCTCTGTACTTTCCTCGCTGGATGAGCCCCTGTACCTGTATCGCCTCTGATTGGATGAGCCCCTGTGCCTGTATAGCTTCTGACTGGATGAGCCTCTGTACTGTACTTCGCTGGCGGAACTTCTGTGCCGCCCCTCTGGATGATCCCCTGTGCCTGTACCGCCTCCGACTGGATGATCCTCTGTACTGTCCTTTGCTGGTGGAGCCTCTGTACTGCCCCTCTCGGGATGATCCCCTGCATGTATGTATTTAGGAGTCATATATTGACGTTTCAAGTACTCTCCAATATAAAATGGCTATTCCGAGTGTCGAGTCGGTAAGTCTCAAAGGGTCTTTGCAAAAGTATTTGCAGTAGAAGTCATGCCGTGCATAACCAATGGCTCCACATTTTTTTCAATAGAGACAGTGACGGAAATAAGTCTTTAATGTCGTTGTTTTGTTGTGTAGCAGTAACATCGCGCACAAGTATTCGCGGTAAAAGTAAGGTTGCATAGAAGTTATGACTGTATGTTTTTGCAAAGGAAGTAATGACTAGTGCATTTTCAAGCATAAGCTTTGTCGTGTAGCACTAATGGCATGTGTAAGTCTTTGCAGTAGGAGTAATGTCGTGCACTTGTAATGGCGGTATAATTTCTGCGATACAAATGACGATGATCGTACATTTCTGTAGTGCAAGTTTTGTCGCGTAGTACTGACGTTGTGTTTAAGTGTTGGCAGCAGAATTAATGTCATCGGGTTTTTGTTGTAAAAATTATGTCGTAGAACGCCTATGACGCGTATGGGATCTATGGCGTTTGGCGAATAGAACTTTGCCTTTGTGAAGCATTGTTTAGTTCGATGCTTGCTTCGTCCAAGGTTGCGTTTATAAGGCACGTATGCACTAGCGATGCATCGGCTGGGTTAGAGACGCACGTGTTTCAGTGATGCATCACGCGTCAAATGTTTACGCCGTGTGCTGTGATCATTACAAAGGTGCATGTCTAATGACAACATTCATGCATTATCAACACGCAAATGTAACGTATGCCGACCACCGCAATCACTGTGGACAGAGGCATTATGCAATTTAAATGACGACATTTGGCTCAGCTTTTCCACAAATTTTGTTCATGCTGAGCATTTCAGTTTTACCTCATTTCAACTCACTAACTACCCACTCTAACCATGCTTGTTATCACATCATTAACATACTCTTTCACTCATCGTAAACCTAACAATGGGTTGTAGAATGGAGTAAATACGTTTATTTTGCTATCCTATCCAGTTTGCTTTACCAGTACATCGCTCACTGCGCGAACAATTGCGGTTATCTGCAATTGAGCCACATGCGTAGAAATTGGGAAGTGTGTAAATGATCACCAAGATGTTCAAAACGTTGCACTGAACATGCAATGGTTGGTTTTGAAGCATTGCATGATAGCTACAGAGCAACACCTGCACGTCACGCTGAAATGCTTGTTAAGGATAGCATTAAGAGGTCACCATTCAACACCAGCATCAACCATCGATGAGCTCCAAGCAGTAAACGAGCACCATGTTTTTTGTGCACCTTATATGCGATTAGAGCCAATAAAGTGTTCGACGGTACTTCTGCTCCGTGTTTTTTGTTGAACTCTGCATGTGGAAAACTGAATATGCTCAGCTGAAATTGTAAAGCATTGGAAAGACTCTGCAACATGAGTGTAGTAATGCGTTTAATGTAGGGCATCACTATACTGTGCTCTTGCCATCATCGCACACTTACAAAAAGTTTGGTGAATAGCTTAAATATGCTCATTTTCCTATGGTATCCATTTTACTTTCCCAGTGCAGTATGTTGGATGGCTCATACCCAAAATTTTACTGAGTATTAGTGCACTCGAGCCACAGGTGTCAGAACTGGAAATTGTGTAGATATGCATGCTGTAATGAAAAAGCTCGATGCAAATTTCGATTGCACAGGTGATTATAGGTCCAGCTATGTTAAAGTTTTTGAATGCGTGGGAATATGTCGTAACGAGCAAAGGTTTATCACAATATAAGGGTGTAGCATACTTTTGAAAAGATGCTGAAGTGGGCTTTGAAATCTTGTTAGGCAGTACCTCAAGTGTCTTAATGAAACAGATCTAAGAAAGAAATGCCTCCAACTCCAGAACTCCAACTTCTGAAGACTTAAGCCCCTCTAGTTTTTTAGCTACACGCCCGCAAAAATGGGGAAAAGGTGTATCGGGGAGAGTATTTCAAAGTCATTCTGGCATTCATGACGTCATCATAACGCCATTCAAATGCTGTTATTCCATAAGCCATTTGGCGATCAAGGCCAAGAAGTATAATGGTCATGGTGTTCATATTGGCGTTCGTGAGCGCGATTTTCAGATATAACAGCCGTTAACTGCCTCTCAATCAATGTTGTGCAAGGTACGATGACGTATGTAGGAATGCCCATCACAGGAGTAGTAATGTTGTCAAAAAGTTGTGCATGGCTTGTGTCGAACTACAACTAAAGCATTGTGTACAGGCTTGGTCCTCATGCTTTCAAAAAGGTATAGGTAGGCTGGAGTGAGTACAAAGAAAAGCGACAGGGATGAGTTATGGGATTGGTAACTTAGAATATAAGGATAGGCGTAAGGCCTAGGATTTGTATTCACTAAAATATCGTAGACTTAGAGAGGATCTGATAAAGGTATTTAATATTATGAAAGGGATAGACCAGGTAAAAGGAAGGAGTAGAACTATGAAGAAGCAGATGTCACTTGGTCTTTAAAGAAGTGAACCGTTGAAATGGACTGTCAAGCGAAGTTGTAGGAAATCTCTTTCTAGCAACATTCGGAAATCGTCTGAACAAGTTCTAGCGGCCTAAGGATCTGATTTATAGCTGAATTCCGGCAGGTCAGATGGTGGGAAGGATGGATGTGGAACCTAAGTAAGCCAACCTCGATGGGCCCTTGTGGCTCTTTGTTGGCCTGATGTCAATATGCCTTCATGTCTATATGACTATATGCAATCAAACCATAACGCATTGAGGAGCATATTTACTACACAGCAAATTGCGCTGTCTAGAGTAGTCTTTTCCACTTTAAAAGTATACTAATAGTTATAAGTGAGCTTGTTTGGTCACATCTGGTGCTTGCTCTAATATCTTCAAATGTTAAGCATTCCCTTTAAGTCATGCACGTTTCTGAGGCTCAGACAATGTTTGTGATGACCATAGATATTTATAGTGATGACTGATACGGGTTAAAAAGTCTTCATGGAATAATTTGCTTGTGGCTTTGCAAACTTCCGACTTCACCGTCTGTGCTTTTTCAGCCCTTTCGTTGACTGTGTACGGGGTGTTGGGAGCTTGGCTGATCTGGCTTTTTGACATCTTTTAATGACAATGTCTGCGCAGATTGGGAACATTTTCTGGATTCATGCGCCTCAGTTGTGTAATATTTCGTTGAACCTTCCTGAGCCTTTGTCACTCTTGAGGATGAGCACAGCTTAGAACCTTGAGTACCGTCATGTTATCGTTATTTGGCATAACAACGTCGTTTGAACAGTACCTCCTGGTATACTGAAAATAGTTACCTGAACAGAAAAATTTTGAACCCATGATTAATGGAAACGCCTCCACTGCAATATTTTGGGCTAATATAGATGCGCATGGTCTCATCTTGATGCCTGCTGTTTTCCCATGCACTGAAGTACTGCCGCTGCATGCTGAAGTACATCTAGCTATATGTCCTAGATGTTGAAGAGGTGACTGGCGGCCGCGTACTACGATGTCTTACTTAGTGACGTAATGTTGGCGGGAACACAGCCAGAGCTTTGGTAAAGGAGGGAGGGGGGGGGGACGCAGTGTTGGCAAAGGCTCCCTGATGTTGAAAGCCTCC